GAGCGTAATCTCACGATAAATCTGATTATGGCTCCTTCCCCACTATAGTGAGGAGCAGAAAAAGTTAGCTTTTCCAGGTTTTATGATTGATATTTAATCTTTTTAAATTAGGATGTTATCTTCATCTTTGTATTTCTTTTCATATTTGATATTTTTTGTAACTTATGTAAAGTTTTCTATAAAGAGCATCTTTATAAATATTATTGATATGTTTTACAACTATTATCATTATTACTCCAACTGAACTTCATCTTTCTTTTACAACTGCTCTCAAACTCTCAAATTTTCTATTCTTTTGCAGGTCATCCTGCAACACGGCTACTTTTTGCATGTGTAAAATGTTTTTCTTCCTTTTTTCTAAGCCTTCCTTATTTAAATTATTTAAAGATCTGGTAATAAACGTAGAAATCTTTCATTAGTAGAAATAACAAGCCCATTTTAAACACTCTATGTGGAGCTTCTCTATAAAAACTGTTAAGAGGAATGTACATTCTGAATGCACAACTGGAACGCTACCCGAAATTCAATGTAATAGCTGTTTTCATATTAGTCATAAATAATTATGTGATTTGTATAAATAATTGTAAATAACTGTATTTCTATGGATTATGAGTAGGATTGTGGCGCTACATTAGATATATATTTGCTGTGCAGAGGGCTCTTGAAGCTCTCCAGCTCTCCTGCTGGGTAGATAATGACTGACCCGTGGCGCTTTAACAGAAACATCAGTCTTTGACCGCCTCAGCCAAAAGTTGATTACGGCTCCAACATTTTTACCACTCAGAGCCATAGCCTTGGTACCAGCTAAAAATAGTGAAAACACTTATACTGAAACTCACACTGCCACTTAGAAGGAAAGAGAATATAATAATAAAAAAAACAACAAAAAAACAGAGGGGTTAGCATAAGGAAAATCGGGTTGGAAAAGAGCAAGATGGGAATTGAAGTGGCAGAAATTAAGATCGATATCAGCAGTGGAAAGCTCAGCATGTAATGAAGGAAACTCAGAAGGGAGTGCAGACTGTTACACCCCAAAACAGATGTTCCACTTTTCTTTTTTTTTATAAAATTTAATCTTGGAAAAGAAAACTGTGACACAGCCCTGATGTTCCATAACAAGGGAGAGGCTGGTGATTGTGGAAATAAAGAGCTTTAAACTTCTCTTGTTGTTTTGCGATGTTCTTCCCAATTGAGCCTGCTTTTCTCTCTGTGTGTGTCTGCAGCATCACAAAGCTACCTGACTCCCATAATATTGTTAATGTTTCCACTCTGGCAGATTACAGAAATGAAATTTGCTGATATTTTTAGCTAAGGACTCTCTCCCGCATCATGTTTAAAAAAATTTTCCAACAAATGAAATAGAGTCAAGATATCAAGTTCCAAGCGAAGTTGTTTTCAGTCACAAGTAATGCTTCCCTCGCCACTGAAGTAAAATGAATTCACTTCCTAAACTTCCTACTTTACACAATAGCTATGGGCAGGCCGGACTACACTCCCCAGAGACGTCCAGACTGCACTCCAAGGCAGTGAATGAGGCGCTATGCATGAAAATATAGCTCTTTGGTCACCAAATCTAAACAATGTGGGACACTGGAAATAGCAGAAACCCAGTGAGAAGATGCTGTCAACAAATGAGATCAACGTTAATAATCGGCACATCAATATCCTCATCACATGGCTTCTAGTTTTAGGATGAGACAAGCAAAACATGTAAAGCTTTATGGGCAGAAAATGAATTTATTAGTTCTGTATATGAGCTGGGATTCAGTGTAACCATGTAATGGGTATGCACAGAAGTAAGCTAAGGCCTAGCTGGGACAAAGTTGCTGCTTCCTCTTTCAGACTCCATCAACAGTCCTGTGACAGTGACACAGTTTGCTTCTATTAAATGCAAAGGCCTTTTAGAGCAAAGCAGCCGGCTAGTAGCCATATTTACTCCAGGGGTTCTCGGGAGGGCAAAGAAGGCAGGGCAGAAGAGAGAATGGAAAGAAAAAAAGCAGCCTGCATGGTATCCTCTACCAGGCAAAAAGCTGTGGTTAAAAAAAAAAAAAAGAAGAAGAGAAAGACATTTTCTGTCCTCCCATTCCTATGCTTCATATGTCCTAACTGAGACTCAATAATACATCTTAGAGTATATTTGCAACACCTTCTAAATAGCGCTATTATTCTAATTCAAAATATATGTGAAATACAACAAAAGAAATTACATTTGTTTAAAACTGTATGTCTTTTTTGAGCTCAGTTGAACTGTTTTTAAAGTAGCTTCTTAGTGTGCTGGTTTACACACCATCTACTTAGAGAAGAAGAACAAAAAGACTGAAAAGAATATGTGTAATGGTTTAAACAGGAGTATTACTGTAACTGTACATTCGTAGATCTCACAGTGCAGACTAGCAGGGTCTAATGAATGCGTAAAGATGGCTTATTTTCTGTCATTAGATAGGAAATGTATGAATTAGTCCTTAAAGCTTTGGTCTTTAGCTATCAATTGTTCAAATGTTTTAAGGAATAGTTAGTTTTGACTACCTGAACATATTTCATTAAGTCTTGAAGTTCTACAGAAATATTTTTGATGATGTTAAAGTCCTTGTACTAAACTTGCCCAGAGATGTTTACATACACCTTACAGTGGAGATGCCTTTAAAAAGTTGGCTCTATAAGGGAGCTCAAAACTGATGAAGAGTTTAAATTTCTCAACAAGTGAAAACTAAACCATTTAGAGCATTTTAGTGAGTGATTAAAAAAAGGATTTTATTTCAAACAACACAAATAATCTAGTAGAGAATTGTAATATGTCACTTTTAAATCACAGATGGCGCTAGCTTAAAGGCTAACCAGTCCTACATTACAAATAATGTCAGTCTGTATTATGAACCTCAAATTAACTATAGGAGGGAGGGGGGAAAGGGGATTAATCTTATGTTATGTAGGCTAAGTGATTAGTGTAGTGATGAACCTCGGCTACATCTGCTAAATGTTTTCATGCTGGATTAATGCATTTATGCTGTATATTCGTGTTAGCTTTTTTCATTATTTTTAGCTCCTTCAGGTGGTAAATGGTAAATGCCTTTTCAAGTCAGGGGACTCTAAAGCGCTTTACAGTGGATTCATTCATTCATGCACACATTCACACGCTGATGGTGGCAAGCTACATTGCAGCCACTGCTGCCCTGGGGCTCACTGATAGAAGCGAGGCTGCCGTACACAGCCGCCGCCACGCCCTATGACCCCTATCAGTGGGCAATGAAGGTGAAGTGCCTTTGACCAAGGACAGAGGAAGCCGAAGCATGGGGTCAAACTGGTTGCAGGGCGGACTCCTCCATCTGACGCCGCCATTACCATAGGAGGGCACAGCAAACAGAAGTTGGATATAAAGTGGATAGATTTCACTATCGCTCACTAGGGGTGTTCTGATACAACATTTTAATTTCCAATACCATACCGTTATTGGAGTTTTTGAGGATTGGCCAATATCGATATTGACCCAATGTGAAAAGAGCACAGATCTTACTTTTAATACCTTTTTTGTGGTATGGAATTAAAAGAAAAGCTTAATAAAGTGACATTACTTAAACAAAGAGCAATGCAAGGTATGAGAGCAACAGACCAATTTATTATCAACTAAAACATATGCTTTAAAATAAAACATAAGAATATACCACAATTATCAAAATTTAAATGAATAAATTAGATAATAATCCTGTGCATTGCAAATTTTGCACCCAGCAGCTGTTGTGACCACGTGAGTTGTGCAGAATACAAGAGCTGCTTAAATCTTAGATTTGGGATGCAGATCAATATTATCAGATATTTATGTCTCGGCTTATATTGAACCGATTTCCAATATCAAATCAGCAAACAGTGATATTCACCAATAGTATTGCATCTTGCATGTTTGCTGAATATGTGCAGCCCAAGTGATAACATGTTATTTAAGCAGCAATACCAGCTAAATCTGTTGGGCTCTCTTTTTAGCATCAAAACAATTATTCTTACTGCCAGACAGGACACCATTAAAAAACAAAAATAATAATAAATTGAAAACATTTTTAAAAATAAGCAGCAGTAGCTCTTAGATCATGTTATAGACATTTGTTTCAGTTCTCCTTTAATTCCCTGACTCTCAGTGTTTTTCAATTGTTTCATTAGGATAGCATAGAGTAAAAAAACAAGAACCAAAAAAAAACTGCAGGTGTTTTTTTTAATTCATATATTCTTTATTTCCCAAAGTTTTTTAGGGGGATGTGTTGATGGCTACAAAAATCCAAACTGAGCACAAAGAGAGGGGATGTAGGCCATCTACATCTGCCCCATGAAAACAAAGCCTCACCGTTAGAGGAGGACAGGGGTCCGACATTGGAACACGTTTTCCAATTTTCACTACAAATTAAATGATCAACTGGAAAGATTTGTCTCCTCACACAGCTTGCAGAGTAAAACAGGGCTGCCTGGTTCCCAAAAGATAAACAAAGCGCCCTAATGGGAACGACCTTCATTGATGTGCATCTTGCCTCCACTGCCATCCGAGCGCCTGCTGAAGGATGCAACTCACAGGAAAACAGTAGGTTGGGAGTTTATGATATAAACTCCAAATAAAAACTGAAGAAAAAAATTAGGTATTCGGTTGTTGTTTTTTTGTTTTTTTTTGTTTTTTTCAGTAGAGAGAACAGAGTGAGGGAGACTGGGTCGCCTAACAAAGGTGGAGCAGGGAGCCATCCAGCAGCATGTTTAGCAGGATATTCCTCCAGCTTGCTAATTAAATTCGGTCACCCATTTATTTAAAGCTTTAAAGTGAGTAACTTAATCAGTTTTTTTCAGTTGACATTGAAAAATCCCCTGAAATCGGGAGATGTGCAAAGGAAAAGCTGAAATCGACTCTTTTCCCTTCTCTCTCTGTCTGAAACTGCACGTGAGTGAGACAGTCTTTACGGTGAAAGCCGTTTTAAAGCCTATTAATTTTATTGTTTTCTGTGTAAAAGTCGAGTCTAAGCTCCACTTACCCTTTTCTGTAAGCTGTGAGTCGCTTCTGAAGGTGTGTGTGGAGCCCAGCCCTGGGAGCGCTGGCCTTCTCTTCCTCCGTTGCTCAGCAATAAGCTACTCCTCTGAAAATAACGGCAGGCGCATCAAAGAGCAGGACAGATACTGTTTCCGGTCAGCACTTTCAAAATAAAACACAAGGGAAACAATAATAAGACGAAAGGTTTCTATGCTTCATCTTGTATTAATGTCCCTTCCTGTCTCCAGCTTGTTTTTACATTTTCTCAATCTGCTGATCTCAGACCCCCAAAATTTGAAAATAAAGTCTGTCTTTTACAAACTGCATTAAGGTTTTAAAGAAGCTTAAACTGTTTTAACGAATCTATGTATCTCTTGTTTGCATTTAACATTATTTTGTATCCGGTGGTGTCAAAAGTACACACATTTGTTACTTAAGTAGAAGTATAGATACTGCAGTTTAAAAACACTCTGGTAAAAGTTAAAGTATCAACTTGACCTCTTTACAAAAATAAAAGTGAAAAAGTATGTGCTAAAGACTACTTAAAGTATAAAAGTATAAAGTAACCTTTAAAAAAAAAACACCCAGATGCCATTATATGAATTTAAAGCTAAATTTTACGACTATTTGGAAAATTTCATTGAGATAGGGCCAAGGATGGGGGAGCTGTTGTTGGTCTCCATCTCCCGATACGCTCTCTCCTGTGTCCGACCTTTCAGACATTTCAACATCTTTTTCTGAATCCAACATTGTAGCATGAAATAGACAATTCACGTTTGCAGTTTGAAGAACACCTGCTTGCTTCTGATGATTTCCTTTAGCCAACCAATGAGTGTTTGCGTTATATGACTCATCCAATTACACAAAATTTCAACTAGATGTGGATGGAGCCAATGATCTGCATTGGATGGCGCACATGATGTGAAATAAATATTTAAAAACATTAAACCGAAGCCAAGAGTAACAAGTAACATTTGTTTAAAAAATGTAAGGAATAGAAAGTACAGATACTTGTGTGAAAATGTAATGTGTAGAAGTCAGAAGTAGGAAGAAAATTAAGTAATGGAGTAAACTATAGATACCGAAAAAGTGTACTTAAGTACAGTAACAAAGTATTTGTACATCGTTACTTGACACCTCTGTTTATATCGGAAGTAGAGATGATTAGATGTAATTCAAACTCTTTTAGAAAGACTAAAATAATCCTACCAGAAACTTTATTTCAGGTACCAACTTCAGATGCATTTATCTAGCTGTGATTCATGGCCAAATTTTATTCTGCTACTTAAACTTGGCACAAACAAATGCAGACATTCAATCTTCAGCATTGTAATGTTGAATTAGTAATTATATGCTTCGTAATTTCTGTTGTTGGGAGCAGGATCATGCCAGATATATGCTGGTATATAAAGAGCTGATAAAGAGGGTCAGTATCACTCTGGGAGGTCCTGTAGAAAACCACTGCAGATTAATACATTAAATAATCAATAATGAATGAATGGTGGATAAAGAAAATGGAGAATGTCACCTGGCCATCCTTTATCAGACAATTATACAACGACAATGTTCAGTCTTCAGTCAGAAGCTTCTCCAGAGCTACTGTAAGACAGACAGCTACAGGAGACCCTTCCTTCGTACTGCCATCAGTCTCTACAACAAATGATCAATGGGCTATTTAGAAATTATTTGAAGCAACATACAGATAAGAAACAGAATCCATTTGTAAAAGTCTAGAATCTTTTTTGTCATTTAACAGGTCTGGTTTCAGAAGTCCAAAATGTGGTTCATAGAATCTATACGAAATAACTCCGTCCATGTACCCTTCCTCTAAATTTCACTATTTCCGTTATTGTCTCATTCATGAGATGGCATTATGTAAAACAAAAAATAAAAGTATAGAAAATGCTATTCCAGTTTCACAAATACAGAGTTTTCTTACCTTTCAATCCATGTTTTCAAGGAATCTCTGCTAAAAATTGTACTCAAGTTGCAATACCTCAATGTATTTTTGCTCTATTAAGAATGAAAAGTAGTCATCCAATATTTCACTCAAGTAAGTTAAAAAAGTTTAAAAAAAAGTAATTGGTAAAGAGGCTACTCAATTACTGAGTAACTGTTGGATTATAACATCTGATTCATATTTAGAAAGGATTCAGTCAGACATGCATATATGCCAATTCTGGTATTCTTGAAAAGTAAATATGTGAAAAATACAAAGAAATAATATAATTACAAAATAGATTTATATAAAAGAAAGATCCCTGAAGTTGGTTGATAGTTTTATTAGTAGTGGAGGCTGTAATGGATCATGTGGCTCTTTGTCCATGGCAGGGAGCAGAGGGCTTGCTCAGGGAAACTACACTTTCAAACGTGAAAAACCTGTGTCTTTGCCAAAGCAGACAAAGTGTTTTTTTTTAATATGATCATTGTGTTATATTTTTTATGTAGTATATTTAGAAGATTCAAGTAGAATCTATCTAATGCAATGTCATTTTCTACACAAAGCATTTTATCAAGTTAATTTTGGTAACAAAAACCTCCCCAAATTTTTACAGTATGTATTTTTTTTATGTTTCTTTAGCTTATTGGACAATAAAAGACATATTTAAATTATGTTTCGATCCAGAGGTTGGGTTTTCTGCTATAAAAACTGAATAAAATATGACTAATGAGGTGTGCAGATGGTAGATGACATCACATAGGCTGACTCAGAGGATTAGTGTGAGTGCATCGCTCAACTTTTAAGACATACCCCGTCTTTTAGTTTGAAACTACCACCGTTTCCTGTTTGGTATTTGCCAAGGCCCAGCTTGATGCAGCACATCAGCAGCAGAAGCGCCTGCGTCTACACTTCCAACCGTGGATGCTTCCAACTCAACCAGAAGCAATGTCCGCCAGAACCGAGTGGGCGGGTTTCCTGGACTCACTGCTCACTTTCAGAAAGCTTTTGTTTCTGCAGCACCACCTTGGCTTCACAGCTGGCAAAATGAGACTATTATGCCTGATTGCAGCATAAAGTGCGGGTCAATTTAACAGGGATGCAGAGGAGTCAAAACCACAAATGAAAAAAGGATTTCTAAAGGACCAACCTTGATGACTTTAAAGACCCAAAAGGTAAGATATACATTAAACATGTTATTCAAACGTGATACCAACTGTAATAATAAATTCTACATTTTATAAAATGCAACAATATTAAAATTATATTAGATTTTCTTTGGAACCAAATGAATTCTATCTTCTAACAAAAACAAATTAAACGCTAAAATACAAACAGATACTTCAATTTAGTTTAAAAATGTAAATATAATAATTAATATATATTCAAATATTTTAGTGACATCTGGTTGAATTTCTGTGTATTTAGAATAAAATATCCGAATTGGCCTCTATATCGGTTTTGAAGTTATTAAAATGTATGCCTCACACATGATGTGATGTCCCATAATACCATAGTTTCTTGAATTGGTTGAAGGTACCAAGTCTTGTGTCTCTTTGCATTGGTTTTTGTTTTCCTACTTTAAACATGATGGAAAAATCAAACCAAAGTAAAACTATACAATTTTTTTTTCATCGTTGCATTTCAGTTTTTGTAGCTATAAAAATATCAAATAACTTGTTTTAGCTGTTTTTATATGTATAGAACTACTAGTGTACTATATCTATCTATCTATCTATCTATCTATCTATCTATCTATCTATCTATCTATCTATCTATCTATCTGTCTGTCTGTCTGTCTGTCTGTCTGTCTGTCTGTCTGTCTGTCTGTCTGTCTGACTGTCTGTCTGTCTGTCTGTCTGTCTGTCGATATCTGTCTGTCGATATCTATCTATCTATCTATCTATCTATCTATCTATCTATCTATCTATCTATCTATCTATCTATCTATCTATCTATCTATCATCTATCTATCTATTTTATATAATAATATACATTTAATAATATATATCTATCTATCTATCTATATATATATATATATATATATATATATATATATATATATATATATATATATATATATATATATATATATAAATATATAAAAATTGTATACACAAAATAAAATATATATGTATATATACAAATTAAAATAATAAAAAAAATATATATTTTTGTTTTTATATAATAATATACATATAATAATATTATATACGTATATATATATATATATATTTTTTTTTTTTTATTTTTTTTTTTATTTTATATATATATACATATATATTTTATTTTGCGTATAACATTTTTAAAACCCTGTCGTTCTTGTCTGCTGCGCTGACGTAAGGACGTCAGCGTAAGAACGTTCAATTTATGTAAGGGGACGAGCCGTAGTGAACCTTAGCACCTTTTTTATGGTTGTGTGATTACTTATGTAGTTACTTGTCTCAAAATTAATGTGAATTTTAAATAAATTAAGTAAATCTAATTTTTCATTTATTTTAATTTGCATTCAATATTTAGTTTGCATTTACACCGAGTAAACATTGTCGATATATAATCTTTTTTTCAAATTATGTTAACTTTTAGACACCGCGCTGTCTTTTCTAAATTGTATTGGTTGAGCGGTGTGATCTTTCTGTTTTCCAAACTGAATGTTGTTATTATTGATTCGGTAGACGTGTTTAGAGAAATCGAGCACACCCACGTCCGTTGGAAAGGGACGTTAGAAATCTGAGCCTGAAGGCGTGGATGCGTGTTTTGAGCAGCGAATGGACAGGAAAGATGGAGGACCAGCGGGATGTTCAAACTTCCAAACGACAAGGCAGCTATAAATCTGGATTATCTGCAGGTTCTGCCATGGCTATGGAGATTAAACGAAAGAAAATACGAGAAAGCCCTCTGCTCTTACAGAAAGAGGTATGTTTAAAGAGGCGACGACACGAGATGTGGTTAAATGAAATGACAGTAAATGCCCGAAGCGTTACAAAGTGAAATAAGTAAGGCTAACACAGTGCAACATACCTAAGAGCAACGTCTATTCTCGTTTTTTAATCAGAATGTTTAATTGAAGACAACACTAAACCTCTTTTCGTGTACCCGTTTTCTTCATAGAAGCACAGAACCTGCCATTTTTGTTTCTGTTCATTTTGGTTCAAACTGGTCAAAACATGAAATGACAAACCTGCAGCTATTTAGAGGGAATGCATTTTCTGTTTATAGGACAGATAACTAAAAAGGTGCACATCTTTAGTCCTGATATAGAGGGTAAGCAGTTGTTTGTAGATTAACTTAACATTTTGCTCCATTTATTCACAAACTCCAATCATGTATAGATGATTAGAAATCAAGCAATCTTTGTCTGCCCAAGTTGCTCTTGAATGGGAGACGATGCTCACTGTATGTATCTTATATTGCAGGGTTATTTCCATGCCAGATTGCAAATATCACAATCATTTTTATTAACTATAAATTAAGTTTTTTTTTATTTGAGTGAGCATTTAAGAGGGTTTTTAATGGCTTAAACATCATCATCTTTATTTTAGACCTTAAAGTCATTGATTATCCCAGATTTTGAATAAAATGTTTAATGTTTGCTCTCTTATTGCATGAATGGGCAATAAACCAGATCTATAATAACATGATCTCAATTATTTACTCAAAGTCTACAAAAGATGTCTACTTCTGAAAGTAGTTTGACATTTGAATGCTTTATTACGTAGTTTATTAGCAGTTCCTTCATAATGGGGTTGTGTATATTTAACAAGGCACTTCAGAAATTTGCTAAATCCCAGTTTTAGCAACTCCTGTGAATCTTATGCGATTAAAAAGTATTAAAGCTAAGTAACCTTTGAATAAAATGTCACTAAATTAAATCTGTGTGCATTTTAAAGATCAAAATTTCCCCCAGCTTTTTCGGGGTTTTTTCTGAAGCTAAAAACAAAAAGAAAACTGGCAAGAGGAAAAGTAGTTTGCACTTGATAAGTCAATTATTGACTTTGTTGTCATATATGTCAATATAATAAAACAAAGGTTGAAGTAGTGACGTGCAAAGCAATTGCTGAATAATATTTTTACCCTATTTTCTGTTGATTGGCTCTGAATGTTCTTTTTTTTTCACGTTTATTTATTCAATTCAATTAAAAATGATTGTATTGAACTCCAATGGGAATTTCAATCTTAAAGTTATGAGGTTGTTCTCAATAGGTTGATGTTGATGTTAATAGCTGTAAGCAGGAGGGATTTTCTGTAGTGGTCTGAGTTGCTACGGGCTGGCAAAGCCTCTGACTAAAGACACTCTGACAAGGATGGTCACTGTTTTCCATAATCTTCTTTACTTTGTGAAAAATTCCTCTTTGTGAAAGAAGAGTTCTTTGAATAGCTCATTGATTGTTTTAGGTCATTCTTCTGATTTTGTTACCACAGTAGATGATAGATTAACTGAATTAATATTTCCCTTTTTTGTGGGAGTTAAAAGAAAAGCATAATTAAAAAAAATGTTATTTAATGCATCTGCTAAATGACATATAAAGGTTACAGACATAAGATTCAATGCAAAGATTGTTGCAAGGTCAATTGACCAATGCTATCAGCTCAGTTTTATTACAACTTCTTTTCAGTCTTTATTAGAGATAGATGGATATATTTTTGGCCGATAGCATTTATTTCTTGCATTGGAATCTGCTGATGCATGCATGCCTTCCCAGTTTGCAGGTTCAGTTCATTCAGCAGCCATGCCTTAAAATCACATGAAGCAATGCATTGCCTCTTAATAATAATAATAATAATAATACATTTTATTTAACAGCGCCTTTCTTGACACTCAAGGTCACTTTACAAATAATACAAAAAAAAAAATAAAAAGAGATGAAAATACAAAATACAGATACAGGAACATAAAAAACAGAGAACAAAAAACAATTATGGATAGGGAAAAGAGCAGTGTATTCACAGATAAGCGAGCTGGAACAGATGGGTTTTGAGTCTGGCTTTGAATAAGGTGAGAGAGTCAATACTGCGGAGGTCGGGAGGAAGTGAGTTCCAGAGCTGGGGAGCAGAGCGGCTGAAGGATCTGCTCCCCATGGTGACAAGTCGAGCTGGGGGTACAGTGAGGTGGATGGAGGAGGAGGATCTAAGGGAGCGGGAGGAGGTGGCAATGTGAAGGAGGTCTGACAGATATGAAGGAGCAAGGTTATGGATGGCTTTGAAAGTATAGAGAAGGATTTTGAATTGAATTCTGAATTGAACTGGGAGCCAATGGAGTTGGTGAAGAACAGGGGAAATATGATGGAAGGAGGGGGTTCTGGTGATGACACGAGCAGCGGAGTTCTGAAGAAGTTGAAGTTTATGGAGAGATTTATGAGGGAGGCCGAAAAGAAGAGAATTGCAATAATAATTGCAATAATCTTCCTCTGTTTTTATTTGATTTGTTAATAAATTTGTATTTGTTGTATAATTTGAGTTTTGTATAAAATTTGCTATCATTTGTGTTATTATTTCATGCACATGGAGAAAAAAAAGGCAGAATCGGCTTCATGAGCTCCAAAAACACGGAAAAATGCTAATCAGGGATTAGTCATTTGTTAAAATAATCACTAGAGATCAACCTTACAAAAAACTAAAACTACCGGTACTATATGTTTCAAAATATATCTTTGTCTATGCGATCATACCATATTAAAGGTCTGATTACCATTGTGACCTGCCTGTTTTGTAATGTGCCTTGAGATGATATATGTTGTAAATCTGTGCCATATAAAGATCAGAAAAAATCTCATTATGTACTTGTTTTCTTATTTAATTTTAATCTATCATGTATTACAGAAACTTCAAGTTATTCTCTTTCATAGTGGATATTTTTTTAATTCAACAGTTAAATTAAAACACCATATCCACAAAGGTAGCTCAAACGAGACCCTTGGATCTGCCAAATTCCCAATCAATACATTTAACATTTGCACTAGAGACTGCCTGATACAGGTTTTTAAAGGCCGATGCTGAAACGGATTATTTAGACATCAGTTTACTCAATCCCTGAAATGTTGTGCTGATTTTTATGTTTATTTTTTGGGGCCAAATCTTATGTCTGAATATTGTTTTTTTTCTACCTCCTTACATGACCAAAGTGGCACAAGATAACAAATCTTACACAAGTCTCAATTAACAAAAGAAAGGAAATATTTATCAACCAATACCCCTCATTTGTGTAAACCACATACATTATTTTTTTTCCTTCTGCTGTAAAAGCCTGATCAATGCATTCTTTATCAACAGGTTAAAACAGCCAAACAGATGCTGTTACATTAGGTCTAATGTTGTCAAGGGTTTCAAACTTTTCTTTGTTTGGCCTCTAGTTGTAAATAATATACTTTGTTTAGCAGATAGTAACTTAGCATTAGTTTTTGTGGAACCATTTCCTGTTTGATTTATTATCAGCCAGTTGAATCAAAATTAATTTTCTGTTTCCACACATTTCACAAAACACAGAATACTAAAAGTATAAGAAAAAGTGGGTATAAAAAGTTGATTATTCTTTCCTATTAGATATAAGCTTAAGTTTTATTGTTGGTACTTGAATGGGACTTACCTGTAGCTATCAGTTTTGTGAGATGAGCAAACTATTTAAATAGGCTTGACATATAAAAGTTGACATATATATGTCAACTTTTTTAGAAAGACACCTTCCTGTATGTGACTCATTTAAGTCTTTAAGAAGTTCTAAATGAACATATTATTGGGGAACCTTCTTTTTTACGCCTTGAATTTACCCATGCTGTCTGTGGGTAACATCCTGTTGTTTTTTCTGGCCTTAAAGAATACAAGCATGCAAGAGAAGCTTGCCTTTGAGATGAGAATCCGTGAGGGAGCGTACAAGCTGCTGCTGGCCTGCAGTAAAAGGGAACAAGTTCTCAGCGCTTCCAAGAACCTGCTGACCTGCAGCGCCAGGATCAAGGCTTATCTAGCCCAGCTGCAGCGGGAGAAAGGAGAGCCGGACGCGATAAGAGCAGAGAGAAGGTAAAAAAAAAAAAAAGTTTTGTGACACGTGTGAAGATGTATAAAAACACAAGTTGAACATTCTTGTTGCAGATTACTACCAACATTAGGAAAACATTTCTGGGTGGAGTTTGTAAATGGCAAACGTAGATCTGGTTTCTGAAATTAAAATGTTGAGTTGGGAGAACCTTGAATTGAATACTGTTTTTTGAAAACTGCTTCACAGGCTTGGATCTTCTCGTTTACCCTGTACTGGCACCATCGCAATTACTGGTAATACTATTCATATCTATTTAAAAATCATATGCCGCTTGTGAAACTGCATTTTTGCTGATTTTTATTAGTAGTTAGTATCTAATAGTAGATTTTTCCTTTCCTTTATTCTAGGCCTGCGGTTCCCTTTATTGTGGAGGGATTCAGACCATTTTAACAACAGAGGAAGTATGTTCTCCCAAAGAATCATATAATGTCCTCTGTTGTGTTTCCTATGCTAACACACGCTGCGGCTCCTTTGTGTTTGCTAGGCTCTCGTCGGGTTGCGGTGTTCTGTCTGATGCAGATTGGCTCTGAAGTTTTTGACACCGACATGGTTGTTGTGGACAGATCCGTCACCGATATCTGCTTTGAGGGAGTCACCATATTGTAAATATATTTTCTATATTCTATTCCTCTATTCATAGCCTCAAAACATAAGCAGTGTGATTTTGCAGGATATTTAGCTGCAGATGGGTATCTTTTTTTTTTTTTTATAATGTTACAAGATTTTTTTTTTTCAGAATTAGACCCCTTTTTTATGAATTATCAGTCTTATGGATTTTTCCTGTTCACACTGCTGGTAATTTGTGTTAAATTTCAGCTTTATTTCATTACATACTTCAAATGTTTTCATTATACTGTTATTATTGCCCTATAGCAAAGATGTAGTTCCTCAATTTGAGCTGAAGGTGGAGCTGTGGAGCTGTTCTCTGGAGGAAGAGCTCACCTTGTCCAACACACCAAAGAAACTTGCAAAGAAGCTCCGTAACTCCTTGGGAAAGAGTGCTGGAAAGAAGCTCTGCTCCCTGCTGGACACTCCAGACCCTGATAGCTTCCTGCAGGACAACCCAATACCTTTGTATGTATTTCTTTATTATATAACTAATCCTGCAACTTGTCTTGGCTTTCTGTCTGCTCTTTGGAACCATTTTGACACTGGGACGCTGTACAAATCTGAGGGGGTTTGTGTGGGATTTTTTCAAAAGACAGCTTCAAATATCCTAATAAGGATTAGATGACTGGGTGTAGTAGTGACTATTTTTAGCTTTCAGATATTAATAGATATTTTTTTTTATATTAGTACTGGGATTTTCCCATATTCTTGTGTAGGTCTGTCTCAAGTTCAAAAGTGCACAAAAGTGTATTTAAGGAAATCAGCTTGGAGGGATAAAGTCTATTCATTCTAAAAAGAAGCCGTTTGAGATTTACAGGATGTTTAAAGCTCTGAACTTTGATCTGTTTATGTGTATCTACCTATAATCAGGGGAGCCAAATACAGCCTGATGGCGTGCACAACACTCGGCCTGCCTGATGCTGATAGCAGCTTTCAGTCTCACTCCCTCATCGTCTACCAAGATGGTAAGAGACAAAGACGCCAACCTTATTTATGGCCTATAGAGAGACAACAATCTCCAGCTCATAAATGTAATCAATACAAAGTTAATGATGCCTAATTTATTCATTATGATTATATATGGAAAGCTACATTTATGTCTATTAATGTGTTATTGAGGTTCATTTTGGTTTTGGTTGGTGTTAATGTTGAATTTCAATCCAAATGTAATAAATTTGCACTATAATTTAATAGTTTTAACATTCACAATGCATACAATAAAACCCAATGTATTTTATCAAAACAAAAAAGTTCATAACTCTTCAGAATGGATTCTTCTTTGATGAAAAGTTTCACATCTTCTATGAGAGACTTTTTCAGTCTATGGAGTTACAGGTAAACTCTGGCTTACCAGTGGATCTACCTTAAGTTTAACAGCGGCAGTTGAAAAAAAAAAAAAAATGTCAAGAAGACTTTTTTTTCCCTAACCTGAATTATTGGGACACAGCAGGAAATGTTGTATGTAATTGTGAAGTGGTATGAAAAAGCTAAGAGGTTTACAAAATCATTTAAAAGCTTATTTTTACTGCTAAATAAAATCATTTGCAACATTTGCCTTAAAAAAAAAACCAAATCAGTCAAAATTATCAAAGTATAGATTAATACAGGGTGGATTCGGATTTTCTGTCACAATGTTAGGTGTTTAAAGAGACAAAGTAGCATCAGTAAGACTAAGGAGAAAAGCAGACAGGTCAGTGATACATTTAGCTTCAGGATGAGCACTGTTCCTTCCATTATCTGACTGTAGAACATGACATGGCTGCAAACCTGCCAAAATGTATCTGTCTATCAAAACGTACAGGCCAGAATTTGGTAGCATTTACCAGTAATGTAATACAGACAGTTGACAAGGAGAATCCTATAAGAAATCCTTCATGCAGTTTTCCATGCATGGAATAAGGCGCTCAGCTCAGTTGAGAACAAAATCAAATTTTTGTTGCCATGCAGTCAAAAAAAAGCCTAATCTTTTGGAAAGAGAATACTTTATGTTGCCTTAAACAGAAACCAGTCAGGATGTTTTGCACGGAGAAGCAGGTTGGCAGCATTATGCTGTGGGAATGCTTCAGCAGATACAGAGCAGTTAGTCAGAGTTGATGGGATAGGCAGCAAAAGAAGCAGAGACGCACCTTCTAGCTGGACACTAACCCTAGATATGCAGCCAGGATGAGAATGAAAGGGTTCAGTTCAAAGCGTATTCAAGTGTTAAAATGACCCAGTCAAAGTCCAGATGGACCGAAATCAGACAGATCTCCTTCCAGTATGACTGAGTTGGCAAAAAAAAAAAAAAAAAAAAAGTTCAGTCTGCAGATTTAGCAAAGCTAAAAATCATTTCAGCTGCTGACGTTAGCTTTATTAAATACTAAATTCAAATGCAGACGAGACATCAAAGTTTAATTTAGCAAAACCTTCCAAAGTCTTTACTTCCACTTAACGGTTATTCACAACTCCTGTGTTAAACAGCCACATTACATTCTGAAAACATTCTTTGAAGTAGGGCTGTATCTAAAGATTATTTTGCTAATCGATTAATCTGTCGATTATGTTTTTCAATCAATCGATTAATGATCGGATTGCAATTGGTTCCTTAAAGAAGAGTTTTTGCAAAATTGAACCAGGTAAAAATTAAGTTTTTCCATTTGAGGAGTTCTGGATAGAGCATATTGACAGAGCAAAAATGTTTTTTTATCATAAATGCAAAATGTAAAATTTTTTTTTAGTTTACAATTTTGGTACAATTACTGCTTTAAGTGTGTCGCTCTGTCTGCTTAAGACACATTTTAGAGTCTCTTTACTCCAGTTAACAATTAATCAATTACTAAATTAGTTGACAATTATTTCAATAATAGATTAATCACGATTAATCCAATTTATTTGTTTTAGCCATTGTTTGTAGTACTATAAAATGTGAAAAGGTGCCTAGGAATCTAAACCTTTTGAACACCCTGTTGAAGGGATGTTTGAGTAACTGTTAGATTAAATTATACAATAGAAAGAGATGACATAGTTTTTGCCCTCTAGGTAAAAATGTTTAACATTATTTCACTTTAAAATATCTTCTTTTTGTTCTCTTTCTCATCCTAACAGCTGAGTGGTCATCTTGGCTCCCCCTCTACGGCAACCTGTGCTGCCGGCTAGTGGCACAGCCGGCCTGCATGACGCAGAGCATGATGAGCGGCTATTTGAGTCAGAAGGTAGACAGCTTCGCTTATTACATCACATAGAATGACTACGTTTTGGTGTGGTTTATGCAATCATCCTTCTTTTTTTTTTTTTGTCCCTCTGTTGATTTTCAGCAAAGTGTGGAGGGAGTAAACCGCTGCTGCAATCTCTACTGTGTGCTGAGCGCCGGCTCTTTGTCCTGTTACTTCACCCCAGAAGAAATCGATGCTAAAGTGCAACCGACTCTTAATGTGCAAATCAATAATGTGAGAGAGGGGAATATAAAACAGATATATAAGCAGAGAAGATACAGAAAAAACGTAGCTTCTCACTTTAGTGTATTAACTTAATAACTCAGTTTTTTTTTTCCTGAATGAATGTTGGTATGAGATACTAGCATTATCTCACTGTATTGAAGTTAGATGCAGCCGCCTGTTCTTTTTTTAAGGTAGAATAATCATAGAGCTTCCAGCTCCAATTAATTTTGAAAACATATTGGGGGCACACATTTAACTTTATTCGTTTAGTGGAAACTTTTCTAATCTCCAGATGGTCAAAATTATGTCTACAGGCTCAAATATACCCCTTCCCCACATAAAATGTGTTAACATTTCTCTTCATATATTAATTAATACACCACATGCTGTATGAATTAATCAATCTTTGTAGAGCACTTTCCATAAAAAAAACAAAAAAAACAACACATGTAACTCAAGCTAATTAAACCAAACAAAAAGACAGATAATTAGAAGAATCACAGAGGATGAGGATAAGAGAAAATGTTCTGGAAAAATCTGCTAGACAATAACTTCAAGATAAAGAAGTTAAGAAAGCAGTTTTAGAACGGTGATTAAAATAATAGCAAATACATTACACATGAACTAGATATGAATATAAAACTTATTAGAATGTTCAATTAGAAAATATCGAAGCAATAATATGTGATAGGGAACAATTATGGTCTAGCTTAAAGTCTGAAGGAGTTATTTGTTCTTTAAACTATCCAAGCTCTCAGCTGTGCTCAGGTCCTCGGGAAGGCTGTTTCAAAGGTACCATAAAAGCCAAATTACATCTCACAGTGGGTTGGTCCTTTTTTTGTTCTCTCTGTAGCTGCATAGATGACTCTTGAGGAGACCTGGGAGGTTTGGAGGGCTTGTTTGATTAAAAGCGTAAATAGGTAGTATTAAACAATCGTAACTTTTTAAAATGCTTGTAAAAAGTTCTTAAATTGTTCCTGAAAGGCACTTGAGAAATCCTTGCATAACTATGGATTCACCCAGGCATTTATCCTCTTAAGTGTTGAATCTCTTCGAAGTTGTGTTATTTCCTGTTTTAGATTAGTGTTGATGTGTGTTTGGAAACATGGTCCTGTTTGAATACCTGCTGGGGCCCAAGTGTTATCCTTCCTCATGTAGATTTGAGGGAAAGTTATTCAACCCATTTTGTGGATTATATCAGTACCACTGAGGGTGAATCTGACCCACAGCATCATACTACCCTCATCGTGCTTTCTTCACCATACATTCTATCTATCTACTTTTTATTACAGTGACCTCATAGCTTAGGCCTTGTCCCATTTGATCATACATTTCTTGCTGAGACCCATTCTAGAGCAGTTTTCTCATTTCTCCCTGTCATTCTGGGTTGATGCAACTAGCTCTAGTTTGGGCTGAGACACTGATATTTTCAGTCCATCTTAGGCTTAATCACTGGTGATTCATAGGATTATCTGGAAATCTAAACATGTGTGGGAGACAGGTTGACTCAGGTTGTTGGATTAGGATAGAAGTTTGTATTAAAACAGAATGGGTATTCCAAGCACACATCAGAACTAGTTTTAAAATGGAAACAAGCTGTTATTTAGCCTCTGAAATGACCCTGGCTTTAGTGTTTATAACTTTTATAACAACCTTTATAAACTTTCAATAAAAGTTCAGTTTGTGCCAAAAAATCAACTAATTTAATAAGAATTTGTATTTCTAAGAAGAAAAGTAGCCAGAATTAGGCTAGGAGCTTATTTATAGCTCAGGGATAATTAATCAAGCATTTATTTGAACCTGTATAAATATTTTAATTATCTGTTAAGAGGAAAAATCCACACAAAATTATAATTTTCTTGCACTCAGTTCTTGTGAATAAAAGACCCTAAAGTTGCTAGATGTTGAATTAATCCACAATTGAACCTTTTAAAAGTCCAGATTAATGATATCCCTGCATGTGTTGAGTGTATGTAATCATCTTAGCAGTCTTGTTTCTCACACTGAGATCAGACTTAAATAAAACATTTTTTTCCATCTTATTGCTCTTAATGCTCCTGTAGGAGACCCGGATTTGTGTGCTGGACAAAGAGAGAGGTGGCCGAACATCTAAGAGTTTGTCGATCATCAACCCTTCACCCGAGGGATCTCAGAATGTTGTGTTCACTGCGGACTCCAGGGAGGAGCTGGAGGAATGGGTAGACTCCCTCCACCAGCACTTCTATGACCAGAGTAAGACTTTCTATTTGAGCTTTAAAAGTGAGAGGTAATATTTATCTAATATTGCTAATATGATTAGAGCGTCTGTACCATTAAAGTCTCCTGACACTTGGAGAAAATCTGCTCAGGATGAAAGAGCAGTAACCTTTTATCACCGTCTCTCATGTCCGTCCTTATTTATGACCAGGCCAGTGGCTTCATTGCTGCGATCGGCTAATGAAAATTGAGGTGGCATCACCACGGAAACCATCACTTTTCCTGGCCAAGCAGGCCGACTCTGTTTACAACGACCTCAGTGAGTATAATAATTTGAATTAGAGTCCAAAGTGATTTAAAGGGAAGCTGATATTTGGCTGCAGCTTTGAAAAAAGTTCTATTTCATTTAAGATAATGTTTTCCCATCACCTCACAAAAAATATTTTTCTTCATTCCAAAAAATGATGCATGCAAATGAAATCCTTTTACATGCAAATGAGAAACCAGGGATGCGTGTCTCTGTGTCCTTTGAGAATTATTTCTTTCACACGTCAGACGTGGGGAGAGAAAGCAGAAATGTTTCATCTGTGAATTTCCTTTGTCGTTGGTTAATTTAATATCTCCCTTAGGTATAAATTCGCCCAGCAAGTTTGAGAGCATCACAGACATTATCCATAGTAAAATAGAAGAGACAGATGGCCGCTTCCTTATTGGGCAGGAGGAGAAGACGGAGGCCCCTAACTGGTCCTCTCTGTTTGATGGGTCCCATTCAGTGGTGGTGGAGAAGAGTTTGTTGTCCCAGAGCAAAACCTCCACCCCCTGTTCAAGCCCAAACCACAACACCAGCTCCACCCCCCTCAGCAATAAGAAGCGGCGGGCTCCGCCCCCTCCCTCTGATGTAAAGCCTTATTCCAACCCTCCCCGTCCACCCAGACCTCCCCTGCCCTCCTCTCTGCGTCACCCACCTCCTCCTCCAAACCAGGAGAAGGAAAACTCCGGCACTTCAATTTCACGTCCAACCATGAGGTCCAAAACGGGCAGACCCTCTCTGGATGCCAAGTTCTCTGCTATCATCCAGCAGCTCCAACGGAACAACGCCGGAGGCGCAGCTGCTTCGAGCCGAAAGAACGCTCCACTGGCCGTCCTGGACATGCACACCCAGGGTCCAACTCAGCTGTCACTACAGCAGCCTGACTGCCAGAACCACAGCCTCCAGATCCCCGAGGATGCAGCCGATCCTGTGTTTGTCAGAGGCTGCAGTGGAACCGGTCCCGTTCCGGCGCCACGCACTAAGCTGAGGAAGTCTTTCAGAGAGAGGATGAACCTCTAAGCTGTGTGATACCAAACTTTTCTGAATCCTTCCAGCCAAACAGTTCCCAAAAACTCATCACCAGCATTAATGTTATTTTCACTTTGGGGTCTGAAATTATTCATTCCAATTTTCAGAAAATGTGAGTTATTTTAATTTTTTTTCTTTAAAGGAAGTTTGGGTGCATAACTTTAGTTTTCTTTAAGCATACAGAGCAAATTACATATAGAGACACCTCGGCTAGTATTCGACTAAATATTCTGAACATGTTGCAGAGAAACGCCACAGTGTCTGTTGTCATTAACAAGGGTCCCGCTTCTAAAAAGTGTTCTTATCATAGATCCGGTACTTGTGAAAAGGCGGTAGTTTAGGATAATTGTCCCGTTGGAACTGTTAGTGTTTGTAGGTTAAAAAGCCTTACATGAAGTCATCCAACATTCTTCCTGGTCATAAATATAAAACTTAACCAACCCAGGATGTGAAATTTAGTCAGTATCCTCTCAAGTATTCAGTTCAAACCGTGCCTCTAAAGCATATTCTAGATTTAGTTTTTCTAGCTGATTGGTTGGTTGATGGGTTGTTCATGAACGTTCTCCAATTCCTTTTCTTCAAAGGTTTACGGTTTAAAATAAGAGGGTTTCAATTTGTTGCTAGATAAGAATTTTTTGAAGTGTGGAGATAAGCCATCAGACCAAGAAATCCCCCAAAAAACTGTCACGCATGGAAGCATCATGCTGAGGGGTCTATACGGCTGTTGGAGGTAGTAATGCATTAAATGTGGTAGACTAAAAATTTGGAGAAAAAAGACAAATAAGCAAACTTTGGCTTTAGAATGGAGCACACTTACTATTTGCTCTTCAGCAAGAATTGTGCCACAAGCTTGTTGACAACAAGAAAAACTTGCTGTCTGAGGCAACCTTTTACCAATTATAGATTCATACATGTTGATATTTGAATGTTTATTTTTTTTATTATCAATAAACCTTCATCTAGAATGGTTCAAGTTTTTCATTAAAGGGTTAAATATCCTATTAAATTATGGTCATGATAACTTGTAGGTAGAAACATTTGATTCAGTGTGTGTGCGCTTCTCTTTAGCACAAATAACGGATACAACCACTTTATCTGATTCACGTAACATTAATGAAATCAGAAATGTTGTCTCCATATGTGTGCCCACTAGGTATAAACTGTTTAACGGTTTGAGGCAGATTATCTTGAATGTTGTGTTTTATTGTAAACTGTCAAGAATTACTACGTTCATATTTATGAAACATTTAAAAACCTGCATCTTGGGTTAAATAAAGTACACAACGATTAACAGGTAATGTAGGATTTTAGGAATAAAATCTAAAAAAATAGGATGCTTAAAGGGTAGAGATGCTCTGGTAGGAGGGTGGATTTTTTTTTAGACAGAGCGCTACCTGGGGGTGGACGTCTTTATTAATGGGGGCAAACTGCAATGTAGCAGCTTTCAGTGAATTTACAATGTTTAGAAAAATTTTAGAAAATGAGTTTTAGAAGACTTTAAAAGGAAAACTACCCCACTTTTATGAAATGTTGGCATGTTTGCGATTTATCAATGTTTCTGGTTGCAAAGAAAGTAAGAAAAGTTTGTTTTGGTTTTATTTTTATATGTTGAGGTCTCATACTGTCATGGAGCCTGCTGGATTTGCGGATGTACTCAGATTAGTTTTTATCTCTGAGGTGGGATAAGATTACGTAAGGAAGTGTAAGTTGGCGGTTTTTATTTATTGCTGCTAACGGTTCTAATCAAAAATACTCAATATATATTAGCTCTATAATCACTTTATATCTAAAGAAATGGTAAAACTTTGATTAGCAGCCTCTCCTGTTGCAAACAGGGATGGGAATTAATGTTAATTAATTCCTAACCTATAAGTAATTGGGAAAAAGCTCAAGATTTAAATAAAAATGCTGTGAATAATTGTTCCTACTGGAGCTGGGTAAAATCTATTAGTAGGGTAAAAGGTTTACAAAACATATTGCATCTCTAATAAGGTGCCTCTGAGTGATTAAAAACATCAATATAAAAACATCACTATAAACACATTTTCAATTTTTCAAGCTACTACAATTTTCAGGAATTGGGTCACAGATAACCAGTTCATACCACAATGTCGGTGCTGCACAGACAAATCTGCTGCTTTTCTTCAATAACATTCTTTTTATTTGCTTAACCCTGATGTGAGAAGACACTTCAGTCCAACAAAAAAAGAAAAGCTTGTTTCTTTGATTCAGATCTATAATAGGAACTAAAATGGAAAAAAAAAAAAAAAAAAGATACAGTTGAGTCGACTTAAATTGAAGTTTGTCTGTTTGGGTAACAGCAGACAAGCCTCTGCTTTTGGGGCCATCGACATGTTCTACTTAACTGTGACGACTTTATGACCACTGTAGCTCATTTTAAAGAAAAGCAATTGCGAGCAGTAATGTGGCTTCTCTGTTCCCCCTTGAGGTCTTTAATAGAGTAACCTTGTTTTTTAGTGGCTGCACAGTACGTCTAACAATATAACACAGCAGCCAATAAATGCTCTGAACATAATTGAATGAATGGACCTTTTGAGTGGCCTGAATAATGAATGTCCTTGTGTGCTTGTTTTGAACATACCCAGTACTGAGAGCCCCCTAAATATTTCAGCCACTTAATGGCATTGTACTGAAGAATGGTTATCGTAATTAACCACAGAGTACAAAACATTGCTTTTGCTAAAATAACCTGAAGAGATGAGGGAGCTAGGGGAGAGGGACAGTAACTGTCTGTGTTGTTCTGCAGATTTGTTTAAAATTATACAGAAAGGTTAAAGCTTTGGGAGAGAAAAGGGAATGTATGCCAGATGTGTTTATGCTTGCTGGGAATTATTTGGCTTCTCTACCGTACGTTCTTGGAAATCTTAACTTCCATCATATTAAAGAGTTTGTCCATTTGCACAAAAGAAAACTGGAAAAGTCCTGTTTTAGCTCAATAATGGGTGAATTAGGCATAGAGTAGCACAGCTAACTAAAGGAAACATTTAATTGACTGCAATAATAAAAACAGATGTTTGTAGTTTTTATGACTGAAATGTTTTTTTATAGTTGTCTTTTTTATTTAGTACCAGTTTATAGTTCTTAATCTAGCCTCTGTAATGTATAAGTTGAATGCAATATGAAATTGTCATTTTTTTTTTTACTCTTTTCTATCTAACTGTGCTGTTTTTGTTTTTTAAATCACTGCTGATCTGCAATAAAATGACCTAGATTCCACCACGCTGAGGCTGCTTCATTTTTGCTGAGCTCTGGAAGTGTAACAGAATATTTCTCATGTTAAAAGTTTACCAGAGGGTGGCAATAAAAGTCAGAGCACGGCTTTTATTGCACCCCGATTCACACGCCAGAGATACTACATGCACTGGCGCATTTCTTCAATGCAGCAAAAGCTGAAGAGCCTGCTTTGGCTCTGAGCCCAGAAATGGCCTGTTGTGAAGATTAAAGCCAGTGGAATCTCAGACAGATGATAGTTTAACTATATTAAAATACCATTCACATATTTACTAAGAGAGAAAGATACTGTGGTGTTACAAAGCAGTTTGTAAAATATTGCATTTTAATATGCTCTGCATAATATTATTGCATTTGTTTATTAAGAGCTGGACTACCTTATTCAGGCAAACATACTTTAATCTAAATCTCTTCACTGTAGCTCTGGCTTCTTGTTTAGGGTTTTTAGCCTGCAGGAAGATGAGCCTCAACATCAAGTCTTTTTGGTCCTCTAACAGGTTATCATTCAGGTTAGAACTCCTTTTAATTTCAATGAACAACTTGTTCCTCTGGTGAAGTGAAAAGGGGTTTAAAAGAAGTTAAAGTGCACATTATAAGTACATTTAGTTTTACAGCATTGTACTTTTGACTTTCTCTTGAGTAAGTTGTGTCATACGTTTCATTTCAAAGCAATGAATTAAGCTGCCATGTCAGACATTTAAAATTTGGGATGTGGTTCGATATATTTTTTTGTTAGCTTTTCCACTATGCTCTCTGTAAAAACAAAATCTTGAGGCCAGGAACAGAATTTTTTTTTTCCGATTATTTGAGTGGGATATTTTGAGAGAATCAGTCACTGGGCAGAATGGAACACACATCACACTGATTTTATTTTTTTAAAATGCGTGATTCAATGTTAAAACTATTTACCTTCGATCCACTGCCCAGTTTTTTTTTCGTTTCTACTTTCTGTCAACCCTCACAAACGATTCCAACCAATATGCATAAACATGCGGTTGTATTTTTACTTAAATATGTCTGTGTGCGGGTAAGAAACCAATGAAACATGTACTGATAGTAAAATATTTTAATTAAATATACAGGAGGTCATATCATACAAAATGTCTTTATTTTCTGTTTTGCTGCCAGCTGGATGCTTGTTAAACAGATGGCTATGGTATCAAAAACAGTTTCAGGATGCACAACATAAAAAAAAAAAAAAAAGAAATTAGGACAACAAATAAAAAAAAAACAAAGCGTATCCTAAATCTTTATTCGTAGTGTTTGAGGCTAACATAAAACAGCAAAAAAAAAAGACATCTATCTTGTGTAACCAACTTTTATACTGTTCTTTTTTTAACTATTTACAGATTATAACAGTTTATATGATGACAATCACACAGTGCTATCCACAGTGCTATTTACACAGATAAGACAAAGAGAGAAGATTTGTTCCCCCGCGTGAATGTTCTGTACAGGAGCCAGCATACCTACACAGCATAGTACAGTACTAAAATCAGCAATGAATGTCTTTAAGTGTTCAGTAAAATCAGAGACGTTTACAGCTTTTTCTTTTTTTTTTTTTTTGTTGTTTGTTAAAACAAGAGAAATGTTTTCAATGTATTTCAGCCGTCCTGCAATTATAGTGGTTGTAAAAAGCCAGCGCAGGTGTTTGCACCCGCGGGGTTGTGGAGCATCCGGTAGGCATACTTTATGGTATCTGGTATCTTTTTCTTCACTGCTAGAGAACTCGCCTTCCAGATGACAGATCATATGGGTCTATTAGCTGTCTCTGAATCTGGGTGAGCAGATTTGTTAAAGCACAAAAAATTAAATCTAAAATTGGTCTATAGTTTCCTTAAATTTTAAATCTTACCCTTTAAGTATGTCTGGTATCTCAAAATGTGCCATTTTTGATTATGTCTGCATACTGCATTTGATACAAGAGTGACAGTAATGTTGACATTCCTACCCTGCTACAGGATATATTCCTTAATGAGCATAGTGCTAACTCTAAACCAAGACTGTGAAAGGCACAGATATTTGCAAAGCAGTAATATCCTAAGTGACAACATTCCTATCAAATCATATATTAAAAGAGTCTGTTTGTCAAAAAAAAATTAAATGAAGCGATTTAAGTTAGGAACAAAGAAAAATTTGAAATGCAGATTTTTTTTCTTTTCTTTGTGGCGAGCATTCCGCAGCAGACGGCTGCTTCATTATGCCGTTCCTGCAGACGCAAAACAAGCCGCAACAGTCACAGAAATATCCCCAGGTCATATCACTTTCAGCTCAGGAGGTAAAAGTTATACCAGCCAAAGACAAAACATCCTGGATTTGCAAACAGATCGAAAGCAATGAAAGAAAGATGTTTAAAAAAACAAAACAACAACAATGAACCTGAACTTTGAAAAGAGAGACTCTACAGTACATCTGTTACACACAGCACCTCTCTGAATGTGGTTGTGATGAAACTGTTCGTGTTAAGCAGCACCACAGCGGGTGTTAACATTTATCCCAATCAGTCCACTCCAGCTGGATTTACTGCGGCACAAACATGGAACAGAGTTCAGCATGGAGACATGTAAACACACACAACAGCACTGGCTGCCTGAAGAGAGAAAAACAAATGATTCAGCTGTTGTATTTTCTTTGCAATTAGGCATGGGTTGGTTACTAGTTTGAAGAAGTTATGGTTTCTAACAGCAAACATTTTAACTTGTGACACTGCTTCTACAGTTAGAGGTCTCTTTAATGAATTGCCAGTTTTCTCTGACTTTTTTTGGGGGGCAACTGCTTTAAAAAGCTTTAAACCACCTCTGAAAGTAGCATTATTACATGTCTGACAGTCACTCTACCTAATGAGACACTGATTAGTTGACCACATGTACACAATGGTTAGGTGAAAGAGAATATGCCAACAATATATATAAGCAATGATCGAAAATATTGTTCTTTTTAAATTAATAACTGATTTCTGAACTCTTTCCAAGCCAAAGCAATATATTTTGGAGCTAAATTTGGATGTTTTCTAGTACTTAATTTAGGTTACTTTAGGAAATTCAAAATTTTTTATTTATTAACTGATTTGGAACTCAGGAGAAGAAATACAAAATCAGTGGATTATTAAAAAAAAACAAACATCTGAACTACTTCCCTTAATTGCAAAGTTAGGGAAGCGATGTGGTAAGTTTTTATTAATTAACACAGTTCTGTCCCTCCTTCACTTAATGCTTCACACTGCTGGTTAGATGGATGAAAGAAGGTTGCTACATGCTGAATTAAAGCTACAATGTGTAATAATTACAGGGATATACAGTCAGAAATGTAATATATTATACATAACTATGTTATTTATCATCATCTACGAGCTCAGCCTTTTAACCATAATATTTGCGTTGCCTTAGAATTCGTTATTTATAATTACATAGGAGCGGGTCTCACAGCCATGGAGGCAGACATCTTTGCGCTACGGCAGCGCAGAGCCAACAAACTAGCGATTGCGAGATCGCCCATTATGCTCGAAAGTAACTACGGCAAGTTGAGAGAGATGAACTGAGACGGTTCTGAGCAATAGATGGCAGTATTAAAATTATCTATGTAAACAAACCTCATCACTTGAGAAGGTAGGTGATGCGGACGTCGTGGAAGACATTTTGTCCCGTAACGCTCGCCGTACTGTTGGGGGGGAGAAGCGGTGGGGGGGAGATGTTCATGTTGCTGCGGTCTGCAATCTGGACGTTAGATGTCGCTGAAAATTACACACTGTAGCTTTAATGCAGTAGTTTTGATTTCTGAAAAGGTTTTCAGTTAAAAAAAAGAATATATATATTTCTTTTTTTAAAACTAAAAACCTTTTCAGAAATCAAAACAACCGCATTAATTTTGTTGAACACACATATATGTATATATATATATATGTATATATATATATATATATATTTTTTTTTTTTTTTTTCAACAAAAAAAAAACCCAGAAACACTGTTCAGAAATGCCACAGCTGCTAACCTATTTAGTATATCTCTGTTAAGCAGCTGATTGCAGACTAATTGAGCAGACAGCCTGGCTCATTATGTTGCAGCTAGTTATAGACGTGTTAAACAACAAAGAGCAGAATGGAGAAAAGAAAAGGTGTTTTATGCAGTTAGCACAGAAACGTTCACATTTTCCTTTTGATTTGTATTAAAATCAGAAATTTGTTTAAAAAAGTTTTGCAGGTAAAGGGGGGCTTGCATCAAGTGGGTTAATTAGTGCTCATCAAATTATGCTTTTAACATGAATTGTCCTCCAGGTGTGCAGCAAAAGAACAAGTAAGTAGACTAGTTTCAGCTTTGATCCCTATTAATAGAATATGTTTTATTTGGGCATTTTAGGCAGAAGTAACGGCAATCAATAGACACTTCTGGTCAGGGTTTTTAGGTGTATTTTTTGACACATCATTAAAGTCTCCAATACTGAGAAATCAACTTATAGTGTACATTTTTGCTTTATTTTAGCATAAATGCGATGGTATTGTTACATACGCCACTCATTCTTCAAGAATCATACACCAACCCATGCCTGTTGCAGTTGTGAACTCATACACTAAGGTTTTTAAAAGAGTTTTGCATTTCATTGCCATCTTTCTTGTAGTGTTTTTAAGCAACAAAGTTTAGCCCTCAGACGCAGTAAACAAATGGCTTTTCTCTGCTTCCCTCAACTTCTGACCTTCCAGAGCAACAAACCTGACTAGCGGTCACTGAGAGCGACTAACTGATCTGTGAGCATATGCACACACGAGCATTGTGCAAATAGGGTTACAAAAGCAACAAAAAGATACAGTAAGTGGTGATAAAAAAAAGAACAGTGCAAAGAATATAAACAAAGGCATACACAGGTAAAAAAAAAAAAAAAAATGGAATTTGCAGTCTGAATGATGGATTTATCAGTTTGTCGTCAGCAAAAGTTTTGATCCGTGCTTTTGCATCAATTGAGCCACAATGTGAACAGAAATAAATCGACAGTTTAAACAAAGAGAGTGGAGAAAAAGAAGGGTGTTATCTCCCTCAAAGTCTGGTGCTGGGGTGTACCGACGACAGCTGAGGCGGTGGGAGGGTCGAGAGAGGGTAGAGGTGGTGCAACAGCTCTCCGTACAGTGCTGCCCCACCTGGGTACCTGTAGAGGTGGTGGGGGCTGGGGCTGGAGGCTAACAGCTGCCTGTGGAGCATCATGGAGTGGATGGTGAAGGGGGGCATAAGGGGGGAAACAGCTGACTGGCTTTTCAGGTATTGCAGGCCTGGGTGCTGCTGAAGCCTGTCCTGAGCGCCTGGTGAAACCAGAGTGCCATGTGGGTAAATCCCAGCATAGAGTGGCGCGGTGTGGGGTGGTGGGAAAGTGGTCGCAGAGTGACCCTCAGGGAGATGATTGTTGAGGTGAATGGCGTGGGCTGGCTCAGCTGGTTTCAGCTCCTCGGGGTCACTCCGTCGGACCGTGCTTGCGGGATGAATCGGCGTCACCACTCGTACTTTCCTTTCTGGGGCGTCTTCGCTCTCTGCTTCTGCCAGACTCCGCTTACTAGGTCGAATAGGACTGTTGAGGGGCAGGTCACCTGACGTTTTGGGGCTGGGAAATGTCTGAGAAGAATCTTGTGAGCTTTGTTTGGGGCTAGAGATTGTCATTGGCGAGACTCGACACGCCTTAGGATGGGATTCCAAACCGTGGTGCATGATGGGATAGGAGAGACTACAGAAAGGTGGCTTGGAAAAGGACGAAGCCCTATGAGATAAAGGTTTAGAAATAGAAAAGTCTCTGGGTTCGTCTTCAGACTCTCCATTCTCCCCCTGTGTCTGAGTCCTGTCATTGTAGTGAGATCTGTATGCCAAGCCTTCTTGCTCCAGACCAACACAAACAAAGCTTTGGCCGCCCTCGCACTCCCTGCTGTAGTGCTCTCTCCGTTCTCCACCAGCAAAGCTAGCCATCCTGTCTTGGCTCAGGCAGCTCTCAGTTTGTCTGTACAAGCTGTGAAGATGAGGTGATGAATAGCAGTCCACTGTATAGCTCCTGGACTGAGCGACTGGACCTTGGAGGATTTTGTCCCCAGTGGTCTCTGTACTGTCCTGGGTTTGGGCTCGGGGCAGGTAAGGTTGCCATGGCACGCTTGCATGAGGTTGAGCCTGATGGCTCGTCCGGCTGTAGGAATCTGACATCTCAGCAGCAGATTTTCTCTCTGGCTGCCCCCCGGGGGTCTGTTGGTGAGCTTTGCTGCTCTGTGCGTGCTGGATCACTGATGGCCGGAATATGGGTGAGACTTCAGGGATACTGTCTGACGTGCTCTTGTACCTTTGTCCCACCACCTCTTCGTCAGTCTTTCTTTGCTCCTTCTCTCGATCACCTCGAGGAAGCGAGGACATAGCTGTGGGAGGTGGAGACTGAAGAGAAGAAAAGGAGTAAGGGTTGGACTCACACACCTGGGAGAGGAGCTTCTTTTTGGCCAAAGGGGACATGACCCCCTGGTTGGCTTTGCAGTAGGCAGCTGTCTGTCCTGTGCCCTGGGTTGACTCCTTCTTAATCGCCACATAGTCGTCCTTGTCCGCATTAGAATCTGTACTCAAGTCAATACAATGTCCATCCACCTGCTTACTCAAGTCAATACACTGTCCATCCACCTGCTTACACATGGGCAGCACCTTCCCCACTCTCCCACCGTGGTTCTCAATGCAGTCTTTGACCTTGGAGAAGTGCTCAGGCAGAGCGACATGTCCAGCAGCTTTATTCTGATCCCAGCGGTGAAACAGGTATGAATTTTTTGGAATGAAATGCCCTTCGGTTTGCTGTTCGCCTGCAAGCTTCGCTTGGAGCACCTCGCTGATTTGCCTCCACTCGGGTTGTGAAGAAGGTCCTGTGTGAAGGGGGAAACCAACGTGTGGGGGTCTGCAGTCAGATTCTTTGGGGCAGAGCGAGGATGGCTGCTCCACTCCCAACGACTCCTCCTCCTTCAGGGTGACATGTAACTCTTCCTCCTCTATTACAATCGGCTCATCTTGAAGAGACGGGTCATTTTTTATGGCTGATGAAATCTCATAGTTGTCTTCTTTCACCTTTGACTCCTGCATGTGGGAAAATGTATGTTAACACCTTTAAATACTATCTAATAATCCAAAATAAAAATTATAGAAAAGACTCAATACACAGGGTTGCTATGAAGTCTTCAAAATTACATAATTGAGTTTCCTTATCAAGGTTTAAAAAAAATTGATTTACTGAAGCTAAGCTAAGTAACTATCAAATGCAATCGTTTTTACTTTGATTCTTTAGTGATTGATTCTTTAGTCTGGCATGTTTTATGTTTGACTCCCTTAACTTTAACAGTATATGCTTAACAATTTAAGTGTTTACTTTCTGAATGAATAAATGGTCATTCAAGTCAGGGTTATAATTCTATGTGTTTTATCCATAGACTGCTTTAAATCTTGGTGAAAATTTACTTGTTTCCTTTAAACCAGGGCTAAAATGCTTAATAAAGGGTAAAGATTAGAATTTTTTAGCTATCATAACAAAATGAAACTTCCAAAAGTCAGAAACTGCTTTCGAGAGTTTGTATTTAGTCTGTGGTGTTCAATCAATGTATCATATTTGATAAATCCAAGGATTCAACTTTTTTTAAAGGAAAGCCAATTTTCATTGCAAGGGTGCTAATGCATTAGCGGTACTTAAATTTTTTTTTTTTTACTTTTAACTGCTACCTAAAGACTTTCTAGAAAGATAAACAGCAATATGTCATAGTGGGAGTACTGATAGTACATTACAGGTGGAATTTTGTGATATAAAATGTGTAAGGTAATGCTGACCTGTGTTTGTTCTTGTTTCACCTCTCCTCTCTCCTTTTTACTGCTTAGCTTAGGATGACTGGGGCCCTTCAGTTTCTTGGGCCCTACTACTTTCACTTTGGCTCCGGCTCCAGACGCCTTCTCTTGGCTGCTCTCCTGCTTCCTGGGTTTGGTCAGTGGGAGGGGCTTGTCCTGTTCACCTTTAAGGTGCCTCTCGTATGGAAGGAGGAGCCTGTAAAAGAATTCAGGAGAAATTATAAAATGTTTCATCCCACATTTATAGACTGTAGTTAATATACTAGATTGTAGTTTATAAATGATGTCCCCAAATTGACAAAAGGTTATAAAACTGGACTAAATGTGATAGCTAATTTAACTAAAACACAATCAAAAGCTTTTGAAGTTTGTAACATGTGGACAAGGCACCAACCATTTTATTATGAGAAGTTTATTACACACCAACAATAGCGGTGCATAATCATGAAATGGATCGTGTTTTTGATGTTTGATAAATAAATCTGAAAAGAGAGACACTTTTGTGTTTACCTCATCTTAACTATGATTACTTTAAAACAAATCTAGCAACTGATAAAGTAGTAAATGAAGTCTTTCTGCATGTAATTGCACAGCACGTATAAAAAGTTGGAGATTATTTTAGCAGGTCATAAAACCATATGATAATCTTTTCATTACACTTTTTAACCAATAATCCTGAAGCTAGTAAGACTTGACTGTTCATTTAAAGGGATGCCTTTAGGACAGAGTGAAAACAAGAAATCCCTTTAGAGGTACTCCATGCATCAACCTGATATGAACCATGATGGGGACAGCATCGTGCTCTAAGGAAGCCCTTTTTCATCCAGAAACAGGGAAGCTGGCTAGAGTTTACTGGATAATGGATAAAGTTAAATGCAGGGAAACCTGTTATATATGGGGTACCATTTGTGAAGTTACACAGTCAAAAATAAAGAGCAATATTTTTGATTATTTAGCATAATGTGAGAGAAAATAAGGGGACTTTTTTTTCCAAGTCAAATTTTCACTACGTCTTTATACATCTATAAATCTCAAAGCTCCAGCTAAATATCTTTTTGGCAAGCTAAATATTTGTTTTTCCAAATTAAATATTTATTTGGTTAACTAAATATAGTTGAAAGAAATGTTTTAACAATCCATACACACACATACATACATATATATACTGTATGTATATATATATGTATATATATATATATATATATATATATATATATATATATATATATATATATATATATATATATATATATATATATATATATATATATATATATACACTCAACAATAACTTATTTTGATAAACATTATGACATGTTAATATAAATGAAGAGCAAAAAACGTGTCTTTTTTTTTCTACTGAACAGCTATAAGCTACAAAAATAGTAAAATAGTAGTTCTGCATGGCAGCACTACTAATTCACTGCTACTAAAATAAAGCTCTTTAAAGCACAGCGAAGAAAAAAAAAAAGCATAACCGAAAAAACAGCTGCAAGCTTGTGGTGCATTATACAGCTTGTTTTAAAACCTGCTTGTTTTAATACCTGGAAAACATTAACAGTCCTATTGTAATTAAGCTGGGCTAAGGGGAAATCCAGACTCAGATTGGAGCCAGTATGTGTTTGTGTTTCTGTGTGTGTGAAAGAGAGAGAGAGAGAGAATGTGAATAATGAGTTATCCCCTGCTGAGAAAGATCACATTTGGTATTACTTCGACCTCGAAGGAACAGAATGTGAGTGTGGGTGTGTAAAGTTATTGCGGCTGGAAATGAAAAGAAGAAGAAAATAACAGCGAGGATAGTAATCAAATGTTTAAAGAAAGCTCGCAGCACTTAATATCTCCTTCAGCATGCTAAAATGATTAGAGACAGAAGTCCTTAAATTAGCTTCAACGATGAAAATTTTTTTAGATGGAAGCAATATGCTTAGGGTACTTAAGACATACAATAGCTTTGTGCGCTCATGTTTAATCTAATTCATACTAAATGACACTAAACATTATGAAGGATAAACATTTAACATAATCTAAATGTGGTTATTCCTCCTTTAAAGTATTCCTAAGTCAAATTTCCATATGTCATGTAATAAATAGGAACATGAGGATCTGGATAACAACACCCATGTGTAAAGCACAGACATGAAAAAGCAGCAGGGGAAACTTTTCGACTTTTATTGCTCCGGGAACAAAATGGAAGTTGGCACAGAACCAGAAAAAAGAAACACTGCAGAAGAACAAACTGAGAGAGCTGAACAGCTAGGATGCTATAAAACATCAGTGAAAAAAAAGAAAAGAAAAAAAAGAGAAAATCTTAATTAAAAAAAACCTCATGTCACGTTTTATGGAATAATCTATGAAAGTCAGACAGGAAGAAGACTTCTTTCATTCTCGAGGAAGAGAATAAGCCCTTGTCATTTAACAGCAAGAGACTTTTGCACTATTCCTTTTAAGGGACATGGCAGTAAAACAAACAATGAATCAAGCACTGTTTCGCCTCCTCTTCGAATCAGAAATAAAGAAAAAGCCTTAGAGACTTCAAGAGGCTCTGTGGGATTTTATTTTGGATTTGTTTTGTTGTTTTTTTTTTCCTCCTCCAAACAAAAGTGCTGGCAGTGAAAGCGGTGAAACTACATTTCATACAGCTGGTCTGGCACCAGGCCCCAGGCCAAGAAAGGAAATGTACTATTAAATGTGACTTATTGGAGAGACAGAGAGCAAAAAAGGTTGTGGAAGAGAAGAGAGGAGACAAACAGAAAAGGGAACAGAGGGAAAAGGGGGAGTAAAAGGGAGGAGGAGGATGGGTGAAGGCATGTTAATGAGAAATAAAGATTAGTGTGACGAAATCCTGGAAAACACTTCTAGTCTACTTTACTCACAAGTGGATAAACTAGTCTCATGCTTTCTAGACTTAATATAATACTACTCAGAAGGTGCAACCTATAATAAAGTTGAATAAAGAAAACTACAACTTTTCTTGGATCCAGCCAAAGAAGTAAAGGAAGTCTATGAAGTGTATATATAACTGGGTCCATTGTTAACAATCTGCATAATCTGTGGGAAAGAGATGGCTGTCTTGGCTCGGGTCAACTTTAAAGAATGTCAATAAGGCTGTTTGTGGGTGGGGGTGAGGGGGGCTGATGTAAGAACTGATCCAGGGGAAATTACCGGAGCCTTTAAATAGTTTCAAATGGAAAATCTATGTTGTAAATTTAGCCAGAAAAAGGAGCCACAGAAAGTTCCTGCCATTGTCGCAAGTATTTTCTGGCTAACAAAAATGGAGAAATCTGGTTTGTAACAGGACTCGTATAGAAGAATCTGCAGTCTGTTTAACAACAATTGGAATCACCTGATCCTCCCTTTAATTTAATTTAATATGGCATCAAACATGGAAATTAGAGACTTTTTTTTTTTAACCACCATTGAAAGCTTTGAATGTAATACCTCCCCCCATTTTCTGTTTGGTATCTGATTCAATTAAGACTAACATCTGAACCTCACAAGTGCCACAATCTAATAACCAAGTAATTGAATTATTTCAAATGTATATGTTTTACATTTATTCTGATAATTTTGAATAGAAACATAATAAAAGTACTAAGATACTTGAAATTTGTGTAGTTATTCGCATATGTAGGGTAACATAAAGTACTTTCTACTTATCAAATAGACAAAATTAGTTAATAAACATCTGCAGCGTGCAGCCAAGAATAGTGCATTTTTATTAATAAACGACTCACTTTAGTAATTAAATATTAATTTAACTGTTTCTTAAAGTGTAGCACGTTTGGATTCCCATATACCTCGCTTTTTAAATATCTATTCAATCAAAAAATTAGCAAAAAACAAATAAATCAAACTATTAGGGCTTAATACAGCCCTCAGTGTGACAGATTGGAGTACTTTCAAGCTTTTCACATATAACTCAGTCATGATTGTGCAACATGATATAATAAGTGCTTGTGATACAAGACCACTGTGAGTAGCAATTTCCTCCAAGGCAGAGAGCTTGGCAGCCGGTGAAGAAGCTGTGGGATCTAGATGTAGTTAACAATTGGAGCCACTTGGGGGCGTACGGCGCCCTGACGAATTGCAGGAAAGAATTCATCAGCGCCAGGAGGGGTAACTATTTTTATGAGGTCAATAAATGCTTAACTTTGCCTCCTGCCAATTTATTACCTGGTTGTTATTTAAGAAGCTTTTTTTTTCTCACGTCGAAGCAAATAAAATGTTCAGCGAGAAACTTGAAAAAGAACAAAGCTTATGTAATTTAGATATTAAAGAATATTGTTCATATACATGTAATCCATTACATCAGGTTAATCACAAACTGTGCAGTTCATCAAAACGCAACTGTCAGCAAAGGAGATCAGGATTGTTGAAATAATAGATTACACATACACACATACCCCCCCGCAAAAAGACAACTTGGCAAAAACAAGGTGACTTTACCAGCAATGTGCTGCTCTCATCTAAGTTTTGTGTTACAGGAACAAGCTGTGCGCTAAAATCCAAGAAATACCCAAGTCACCAAATAAGTGGAAAAAGGCTGCAGGCTGTTCCATTTCAACAATTTTCCCTCCCATCCAAGCTGAAATTAATTTTAGCTGGTGTTGTGTTAAGATCACAAGAGCTACTTCATGCATTAAAAAAGGGAGGGGGTAAAGAAACTATTTAAAGAGCTGCTAGACCAGCCCCGGGGGCTCTGAGAAAGACTCTGAGGAAAGAAAATAACTACGTTTTTATGAGCCTGTGAGGACACAAGAGTTATACAAAAAAAAAAAGAAGTCACTTTCTAGTTAAACATGAAAGCAACAAGAAAACAAACTGTTTCAGAGAAAGAGTGGGGGGAGATAAACAGACATTGTATCTGCTCCCTCTGCTCTGGATTCATGCCTTGGAGCTCCTCTTTTGTCTCGGAGCCAAACCACTCGAGGTGACCCTCATTCATGCGGTTAAAACAGGAGGGCAGCCCAGGAATGTATGAAAACTTAAGTCCTTTGTCAAGTCTGAAAATACCAGATTTAAAATGACCTCTACTGTTCCCCTGGGGTTCGCTCTCATTAGCTGTGGCTGCGGCAGTATGCAGTAAATGCTCGCCCTGGCAGGTGTGAGCCCAGAGCACCAAGTGTGTCAAATAAATGTCCACTACTCTGCATAAAGGAACACTTTCAGTAATTCAACTATTACAGCCCAGTAATG